AAAGGCTAAAAATGCTTAGGAAAGATGGGAACGAAAGAGTTTTAGCAAAGCAGTAGGTACATTTTCTGGAATAATACGTACAGAAGAATACTGAAGAGCAGTAATGAATGTTTGCCCTATTATGAATAGATTTCAAAAAAAAAATTCGCTCTACTCAGCTTAATTTTGTTTTTCCTGATTATGAATCGTGGATCGCTTTAAATACATGCAATAATTAATGATGCATTTTCTCACAATGTTTTGCTTCGACAGTGGAAGTGATGGAAGGATCGGGAAGAGCGTGAAGAAAGAACAAAGAAAACATTTGAAAAATCTCACCTTCTCACTTCTTCTAATTGTCGCGCTAACTCTTTACATTCATTACTCCTCTCCTTTGACAAATTTTGATGATGGTTTAGTTGTTCACGTACGAGTCTTATCTCTTCAGTGTCCTAAAAACTTTTATCTTATTTTTTTAAGCAATAAATATTGCTTGAAAACGAACCGATTCAATTTTCTCTTCCAGCACTCTGACTGTGCTTTTCAATTTCTGAACATTCTGCTCATGAGCGACGGTTTGCTGTCGACACTCATCCAACTGCGTTTGCAGCTCTATTAAAAGATAATTTGTTTCCTGTCCCGATTATTTAGAATTTTGATGAAGTTTGGTTTCTTACCTTCTTCATGGTGTGTCGCCGTTTCACGCTGTTCCTGGAGTTTATCAATGTCAGAGCGAAGTTGACTCAACTGTTCTTGTAGTGTTTTATTGTCTTCACTTAGGATAATGTTCAAACTTTGAGCCTGGAACACAAGGGGTGAATATTCGGCGTTGATTTTGAATCCTTCAAATCCACTCACGTCTTCCAAATCTTGTTTGAGTTGTGCCTCCTTAGACAACATTTCTTCGTAGTGAAGATTTTGCTCCATGATTTCATTGTCTTTTGCGTCTATCTTGGACATATGAAGCTCCACATCTTGTTTCAACTTTGTTATGCTATCCTCAAGTGTACTTATCGTGAAGTCTGAATATCACCAGATTTAATGGGTGGTGAATTACTATCAGTTGACTTGTCACTGCTTCTTCAATGTACCTTTCTCTTCAGCTGATTTTTTCACCGCAGAATG